GACATGATCTGATAATCACCAGACAACACTCTAAGAAGAAATATTTTTATTTCAGTACTTATGTGAAAAAACAATGATTTTTTAATATATCATAACTGTTCAAATTTGTGTATTCATGTCTTTTGGCTGTATAAGAACATGAAAATTATTTCATTTATTATCAAATTTATTAGAGATTATAATTATAACTCACTATCTATACAACAGAAACAAGAGAAATAGAAATAGACTGAAGAACTGGCTCAAAGAGTCCTGAATTAGATACAGAGAGGGAAAAAATGCAAACACTTTGTCAATCTAAGTTATCATCACAAATTTTATTACCTGGCAGAGAAAATATAGGCATGATAAAAAGCTAAAAAAGCTAGGATGATTTTAATCTGTAATAGACTGTTGAGGTTGCTGAGTTTTGTTTTTTTTTCCATTCTTCATTTTACTGACTGCACATTAGAAATTGCCAGGCTGATAGACAATAGCGCATCTAGCACAAACTCATTACTTATATGAAAATGCTAAATCTCTGTAATCCACTTCTTTCAAAGATTTTCCCTGAGGATTCAAAAACCTATTTCACTGCAGAATACTTTCCATGATTTCTGTAGGACACTTAAAGAAAATTTTTCTTTATTTTGACAGTAGCATGAGAAAAATATAATATTATGATCACATGGTTCTTCCACACTTCCTTTATCAAAACCATTATAAGTACTGGAAAGTATTTGAAAAATATGTATCTGTCAGTAGTCCCTTTACGTTCCAGTGAAAGAAAACAGTTGTTCTTAGCTACAGGAAGATGATAAGAGATTGTGTGATTCATTGTTCATATATAAGTGCTTTCTCAGCAGATCTTGATTCTAAGTTTAAAATGTCCATAACTACATCTATGCTATTTTGAAGGAAAAATCTAAGAAATTCACTTTAGGTATCAAAACATTGAGAAGTTTGAAAACTGACATTTAAGGATCATGGAGTGTATTCATTGTATTGTAAAGGTGATCTTGTGACATAAGGCATTTTGTACTGGCTAAAAATATACAAAAGGAAATATAATGAAATATTTTGAAAATTTATAAAGAGGAGCCATTCTTTCCAAATAGATTTTTCAAGAGCAATAATGCAATACAGCTTTTACATATTGTAAAGTAAGATAGAAGCAGTGACTTCTTTCACCTGAAACAGCTGTAAAGAATAGCGTCTTATGATACGTCTTTCAATCTTTTGGGAACATACCTAGAAGAATAGCTGGATCTAATGGAATTTCTAGTTTTAGTTTCTTGAGAAATTTCCAAACTGATTTCTATAGTGGTTGTACTAATTTACATTCCTACCAACAATGTGGAAAAGATGTAGTATGTACATGTAACTCAAATGTTCACATTGGAACTTTTCGTTTTGTATTTTGTGTGACAGCTTCAATAGAGACCAGCTGGTAGTTACAACAAAGAATTGTTTCCTTAGATTGCTGCTAGCATCTAATATGAAATCTTTTTCCTCATGGTTGACTATATGGAAGTTACTTATACTGTTAAGCTTAAAAGCAACTTTACAGTTCATTATTAAATTTATAATAAAAATACATAAATATAAAAGAAATTATGAAAATTAAGATGCTATTCTTTTTTAATTGTCATTTTATTACTACTTGTTTGCAGTATATAATGATTACATTCACTGTGGGAAGTCACATGTGTGTACTACGTCTTTTATTTATTTATTTATTTTGTACCAGGGATCGAACTCGGGTCTTTGCGCTTGAGAGGAAGGTAGAACGTACTACTACATCTTAATTACTTTTAAAATTTCCTCTCCTCTCTTCACCTTCCCTGAATCTCTTGATCCCTTGTCCTTTTGCACAAGACCGTCCTCCTTGTATCCTATTATGTCTTTTATTTTTGCCTGAAATTTATTTGTATTTTGGGTTGAGGCTATAAGTATCGGGGGCTTCCACACTGTTGGTAGGAATGTAAACTAGTAAAACCACTATAGAAATCAGTTTGGAAATTCCTCAAGAAACTAAAACTAGAAATTCCATTTGACCCAGCTGTTCTCCTTGGTATGTTCCCAAAACATTGAAAGATGTATCATAAGACGCTATTCTTTACAGCTGTTTCAGGTGAAAGAAGTCACTGCTTCTATCGTATTTTACAATATGTAAAAACTATGTATTGCATTATTGCTCTTGCAAAATCTATTTGGAAATAATGGCTTCTCTTTATAAATTTTCAAAATATTTCATTATATTTCCTTTTGTATATGTTTAGCCAGTACAGAATGCCTTATGTCACAAAATCACCTTTATAATACAGACAATGGATAAACTCCATGATCCTTAAATGTCAATTTTCAAATTTTCCAACTTTTTTACAAGTCTCATCAGTTTGTTTTAAATGATCTTCAAAGATACCTAAAGTAAATTTCTTAGATTTTTCCTTCAAAATAACATAGTTGTAGTTATGGACATTTTAAACTTAGAATCAATATCTGCTGAGAAAGCACTTATATATATGAACAATGAATCACAAAATCTGTTTTCTTTCGTAGAAAACTGGGGGAGGCTTCATTTGTTGCTCTTAATGAGAAGTGAAATTTATCAATGATGAATTTTAAGAGTGCGTAAAGTATTTTCTAAAGCATTACATCTAGAACTAATTTCAAAGTGCCTTATGGTCGCATACACCAGAATCTTGCTGAAATACTTAAATATTAAGAATAGTAAATCCATAAGAAAACTTACCTTATTTTTAAGAAGCACCTACTGTGCTTAGTGACCTTGAGAACCCCAGTGAAGAAAATATAAAGCATATATGAGAAAAGAGTAAAACCACCTAATATAAAGTCATGGTAACAATTCTTGGTGGCACACAGATGTGATGGGAATGTGAAGGGAAAATCACTGGGCGAGATGTATAAGGAAGAGTAGCAATGTATAAACTCTGAGTGAAGGGCAAGTGTGGCACTATTAGAGAGAAGCAAATTGAGAAATAATCCTGACAACTGAGTACCAAAGGCAGGAGGTGACAAGTATAGGGGAGAGTGACAGCTAGGAAAGCAATGGATGCTATGGCTGGTTAAGAAACAGAGGTCCCTCACTGGGAAAAACTGGCTGACAAGATGTGACTTGGAGCTTTTATCTGAGGTACTTATAGAATACGGTTAAAATATCAAAAAGTCTGAGATGGATTGACTGATACTGCCACTTACTAGTTATTAGACTATGGACAAGTACTTTAATTTTCTATCCCTCTATTTATCTTTGTAACAGGGATAATAATAGTAGGTAGAGGTTAGATAAGAAGTTAAGTTCTTGCAATCTCTTTGAATTCTGACACTATGAAAGGGATACATGTTTGACAACAAATCTAAAAATGTTCTTCTGGGTTCCATTGTCAATACAGATAATAAAAATGGGTAAAGAATTTAGTCATAGTTGTGATAGCTCGATTTTCCCCATTAACATCTGTAATTAACTGCAATTCAAACTAGAACATTGGTCTCAGAATTGTTATTAAGCACAAAAAATTATCTTTTATCCCCACTCCCTTGCCTTCATCACATAAATGTTTGTAGCAGCCTCCTATCTTTAAGCTCTCTGACTAAATAGTGGAGTTCTTGGAACTTTCAGATTTAAAACCTGGATCTTCTAGATCACTGCCCAAAAGAGTGCTAACAATTCATTTGACCTCAATAATTGCTGATAAAGTTCTTTATTCAGATTTTGGTGAAAAAAAATGGCTTTGAGAAATTTTACAGAATATATTAAGTCCACAACAAGTGGAAAACTTTTTTAGATTCTAATTCTATGCATGGCAAATTGGGAGCTTTATTACCACATTTAACCTTCAGCATAACTTTCTTTAAAATACAGGTTCAAATGTAAAATCTAGCACTTTCATACTTTGTAGTAATTTATGATGGTCACCCTTTGTAACCTGTAAGATCTGAGTTCATAAAAAAGACTGGAATTACAATGAGATCTAATATTTCTGTACACACAATTTCTTTCCACATCCTTTTTTGTGTCACAAGGGAAAACTGAGCACAGGCCAGATAAAATTGCCAACAAAATACAAATATAAAGCAAGAAATGTAGGAGTAAAAATAAATGTCACATATACTTATTTCAGGTAAATAACATTTTCCCTTCATCTGAAATTTTATCTTTTAAACATGGGCAATTGAGCAGAATAAATGCATTCTTGTCTTCAAAATAAATCAAAGTTATTTATGATGAATATTCTATTTAATAGAGGTGTATAGGGAGCTATAACAGTTGATATGATAAAACAAGAAATAAATGATGTTCATTTCTCAGCCTCTGCACTAGACTAGTATAAAATCAGTTACTTATTTTTCATGTACTGCCATCATTGCCCTGTTGATCAAGTCTATTTCCAATAAAGAGATGATCAGGACCTACTACAAATACTACCGACTTTGTAGCATTCATCAATTTACTGGGTTTTTTTCTGTTTAAAGTCTTATAAAATAATTTATGAATTTCTCCTTTCTGTTTTATTTAGGAATGTTTCAGAAACACCACTCTAATTTAAGTCAGCCAAAATTGCTGCATCATAATGGAATTTTTACCACAGCTTTAAAAAGCAGCAAAAGTAACTACTTAAACTTAACCCTGACTTTGGCTTGTAGACTTTTCTAAAGAAAAGCTAGAGGACAAAAAAAAAACAAAAAAAACAAAAAAACAAAAACATAATCTAAGTAACTGATTGATGACAGGACTTTAGCGGGGGAAATGCTGGATTTATTTGTAATTTATATTGTAATTCATTCCTCTTTTATAAACTCAGAAGGAAATAATGCTGTAAAGAAATTGATGTATGTATATGTTATCATGTAACCCTACTTTTACAGAATCAGGTTGGGAAATGAATTCCTATTAATAAAATGCAAATAATTTAGTCATCACAGCTGGAAATCTCTTAATTGCCACACATATTTCTAAAATTTCTCTAATCCTCGTATGTTCTCTTGCTCTTTTGCAGGCAGACCAGTAATGATTGTGGTGGAATATATGGAGAATGGATCCCTAGACTCCTTTTTGCGGGTGAGCTACTCTTTTCTGATGGCATTTAAATAAGCTTTTCTCAGTTCTAGATTTGAAATCATTTATCATAAATTAAATTTTGCATAATGTTATGCATAGATTTTCTGTGAAGAATGGTAGTTTCTAGGGGGCATTTCTCTGATACTGTGATAAATTAGAATGTATCACTAAGGAGACAGGATATACACTTAATAATATAATTGATTTCCCCTATTAATTCACATTCGTGCATACACATACACACACATATATGATTGCATGTTCACATTTTGCATTTATATTTCAAATGATGTTGTCAGGAAGAAACGAATTTAAAGAAACTCAGTTGCCGATGCCTCCATTCATTTTGCTCCACCACATTTAACAACTTAGTATGATATTTTATGCAGTGTCTGTAATGTTCATCCCCTCAAATTGCTGTATGTTTCCCAACAGTGGCCCATATTCATTTGAGAAACCTAATTATATCAACTGTGTCTCTCAAGTTCATTTGGCTAGTTATTCAGAAAACAAAAGAAATAAGAAAATCCATCAGCAGTCACTTGCTTTAAGACAATAAGCACTCTTTTTTTTTCTCATTGAGTTTATTGGTACATTTTAGGTATACAGTACAGTTGCATTCATCATTGGGATCTTGTACCTTTACATGACAGGTCTTGGTTCTCATTTTTTCCCCTTGTCCCCGCCCTCCCTTCACCCGCTCCTCCCCTCCCCATTTACTAACACTTTATTTCCATTTTTCATTTAATAAGCATTCTTTTTAAAGTGACATCTCTAAAAAATACAGTATATACAAAAAATCATTAGTTACATGTAGTATAAAATAACAAAAGGTGAGAAAGAAACAGGAAGTTATATTTCAAAGTAGTCAATTGTTTAAGATTTTAAAAGCTATTATGTGCCACCAGAAGTCATATGTTTGCATGCCACTGTGTTCTTGAAAATATACATAATAACAGTAACAACCTTTTCTTGCTTGTGAAATGGATGATACTTTGCCTTTTGTATTATGTTGTAGTCTCTTCATTTTTATTTTCATGTAAATATTAAGCATTCTGTCTTCATTCCATGTTTGCCCCCACATTATTTGGACAAGTTCTGTTTGCATCTCACTTTTCTGCCTTGATCTCATTTTCATTTTTTCTTGATTTCATGCCCTCTTCTCCAATTGCTCTCAATATTAGCAGTAATGATATATTTACATTGTGAATGAACTTGATATCTAGATTCAGTACCAGAAGCTGAATTCAGCAAAATTTTTAGTCACTATAAAGCTATACTACTTTCACAGTGCATACTCTTAACCAAATGTGCTCTTTAAGGGAAAATAAAATCCATAGGTGTTTGGTACACAAATTGCTTCCTTTTTTCTGTAGCCATTTTAAAATGTTACTTTATGACTTGTATTCATTTCATCTGTAAATGTTCTAAATTACTTTAGAATAATTTATCAGGGCCACCTGTGGTACCTGAGATGCATATATAGTTATGCCCTTCCATTACATATATTCAAAAACATTTTTATCAGACACATATCAAAATGACCCATTATCGAATGATGTTTGGAATAGGTTGGTTTCCTGTTTCTTTTCTTTTTTGATATCAGCTATTATCCTAAAGTAGACTATAATGGCAAATAAAATAGCAGATACTCAATTTAAATTGCTGCTGAAAATTGTATCAAATGACTGCCAAAAGCATATTAGTTAAGAAATGTTAGTTTCAGATATACTTTTTATTCTGCTGAATCATGAATCAATTATGTTATAAAGAAACAACAATGTTATAAATAAAATATTTACTAATACATTATAAGTGGTGAATTTCATGACTTAAAGTTTAAAAACTAGTATTTTCAGCTCTTACAATGCATCATGTAGGTAAATATTACCAGAGAATCTGGGGGAAAATTAGCTGTTGGATTGATGGTGGCTCCTACTACTTCTACTGTGAGAACCCAAATACCCATTTCTGCTAACATAGGCTCTGCCACCTACTGGCTACATACCTTGGGCATGCTGCCAACTTCTCTGTACCTTTCTGTGCCCATCTATAAATGGGGATATGAATAATGTCCACCTTATACAATTGTTTAAATGATTGAGTCACCTTTTACAGAGCATAGACAATAGTGTGTGACACATTGTAAGTGACTGAGGACTGAAGCTGAAGTCTTTATGACTCAAAAGCCGTATTCTAAAGTCCACGCTCTGATATCGGAGTTCTTTTTTTATAACTATTTTCCCTTTGGGTTCTCTGTCTCCTTTGCACATATACTTACAACTGAAATTTAAATTATGGGATTGAAATGTAAGAAGAAAATCGTGGGAAGAGGAAGAATTGTCAATACTCCTGTTTTACCTTCCTTAATATGCCTACTCTTCAGATGCTTTATAAACTTTATGTCATTAGCAGGCATTCAACTCCCATGGCAAGCAGAAATAAAATATAAGTGTATGTAGCCCATAAATTCTCAAAAGCAAAATCATTTTTCACACTACTGCTTTAGAATTTGATAATTGCAGCTTCTGTGAGCACAGAAAGGAGGAAGTGGCTAAATGTACTGTGCAGTAGGGGAGCCATCCTTGGCTCATTAATAGCCTTCTACACTTACTGGAGACAGAAAAGATTTCCCTTTGGTCTCCCACACTATTTGAAAATCACTTCAATTTGCTACTTTATTATAAATGAGTGGTAGCACAATTAAGTACAAGATGACAGTCTAGAGCCAGTACTGGGGGCTGACTAGCTATGATACTTCACTGAATTCATAAATCTCATGCCCCTTGGGATGATTGTGGATATTTTTCCAGATATGTATTGGCCATGGGGAGATGTGGTCAAGTGTGTAGGTGTGTGTATGTACACATGCACACTTGTGTATGTGTGAGACTGTGTGTGTGCTTTTAATTTTTAAGTAAAATGTAACCCAATTTAGTGAGCATAGCATCAGCCCAGCTGCCCAGAATGCATGATATTACTGATGTTTGGCATCTTTTCATGTGCTTTTCAGTGATTTGTATATCTAAGGTGAAATATGTACTCAAGTCATTTGCCTATTTTTTAATTAAATTGATTCTTTTGTTATTTAGCTTGGAGAATTATTTAGATGTCCTGGATATTAATTTACTAGAAGATACATAATTTTCAAATATTTTATCTCCTATAAGTTTCCTTTCTGTTTTATTGGTAGTGCCTTTTGATGTGCAAAATATTTTAATTTTGAGAAAATCTAATTTGTCTATTTTTCCTTTGTTTCTTAAAGATTTAAATAAGTCACACATGTGTAAATACTGAATAGTTTCTCTGTTGTGAATAATCTGCAATAATACAGAAGATCCTAGTTAGATTACTGACATTTCGAAAAGGGAAGAAAGGAGCTAAAGGTGTAGGGAAGGTGGGATGGGTAGGGGAAGGGTAATAAGGGAAAAGAAAAAAATGTGAGATAATGAAAAGATGGAAATAAAGTGTTTGTAGATGGGGAGGGGAGGAGGGGGTGAAGGGAGGGCAGGGGTAAGGGGAAAAAATGAGAATCAAGACTTGTCATGTGGAGGTACAAGATCCCAACAATGAATGTAACTGTACTGTATCCCTAAAATGTACCAATAAACTCAATTAAAGCTGAAAGAAAAAAAAAAAGATTTAGTGCCATATACAAGAAATCATTTCCAAATCCAAATGTCATAAAGTTTTGCCTTATATTTTGTCCTAATAATTTTGTCTTTTTATTTATATTTAGGTCTTTGATCCATTCTGAATTATCTTTTGTATTTGGTATTAAGTGAGGGTCTAAATTCATTCTTTTGTATATGGACATCCAGCTTTCCTAGCACCATTCATTGAAAAGACCACTCTTTCTCCACTGAATGATCTTGGCATCTTTCGCAAAAATAATTTGGCTATAGTCTCCTCCTGGTGCTATAAGAAAATATAAATCTGATAACTTATAAATAATAGGAATATACTTCTTACCATTTTGAATTGAAAGATCAGGCAATAGCAAACTCACTGTCGGATAAGGATTTTCTCTCTGCTTCTAAAATGGCAACTCCTTGCTCCATCCTCCCATGAAGAAGAGAAAAACTGTGTCCTCACAGGAGGGAAGAGTAAAAAGGGAAAAAGGGAAGAAAGTGTTTAACCTCTCTCTTATTTCTAGCAAATGCTTTATTTCTTTTTTAACCGCTAGTTAAAAGTCCATGCTATGAACTCACTGATTACTTACATGAAAGAAGCTTCAATTACGATCCCTACTCCCTTTAGCATCCTCACTTTTCTGTCATACCTAGTGTACAAATCAGGACCTCTATTATCTCAAATTTTATGTTTGGAGGTGTGGAGCATTTGTGCTGAGAACCGCATAAGCATGCGTACCACTACTGTAGTACATTTGTGTTCTTCAATGTTTTTTTGAAAGCTCAGCATGATTTGCGAATCATTTTATGTTCTACACGATGAAAGACTATGAATAACAGATTTAGGAGAAAAATACGTGTAGCTAATATTAATGATTGAGACAAAAAACCACTTACACTATATACCTTTTCAAATCTTGGGAAAATTTTGTAGTTCATTGTCCTTATTGAGGCCTTGGAAAGACTATTCCTGGAATAGAACCTGCTTTTGATTGTCTGGGTTTTCAATGCTCAGTGACTTTCTTTAACTTCGGCAAGTATTCTAAACTTTCTCTCAAATGAAGATTTGTCTCCATACTAACATGCTAACTCTCCTCTTATGTTTATAGAAACAAAACAGCTTCAGGTATCAACTTCTTCATTTCAGTCATATTCCTTATAAAACTGTCTATGTGCACAACTCATAGTCCCTCTAGTTTTGGAAGATGGAATAGCTTTTGCTGTACAAAGTAAATCTTCTACAGCCCTTGATTTTTCATCTGCCCATCTTCTGAATTATTTTGCCTTATCAGTTTATTTACTTTAATTGCCTTGTTTCCTGCTCCTGCAGAGTACTCTCTAAACTTTCTTCTATCTTCAATTATCCCT